TGGCTCAGGGTTTGATGGGGGAGGGATAGCCGAGCGGCTAGCTGATGTCAGCCCTGTTGCGGGTCGCAAGCAAGTCGATGACTTTGTCTCTTTGAGACTGAGCGTAATGCGTCAAGTACGCGACGCTATGGATGAAAGCCAAGACACGCAGAAGGAACATGCAGATGTCAAGGGCAGAAGCAATGTTGAGAGGTTTGAGGTCGGAGACCAAGTTTTATGAAACGCTAAAAACCTACCTACTCATGCAGTGTCTGCAGTCTTCAAAACGAAGTTAAGACCTCGGTTCATAGGACCGTTTAAGGTCGTGGCCAGGAAGGGCCTAGCGTATACGCTTAACCTTCCGAAGAAGATGCGCACGCATCCGGTCTTCTATGTTGGCTTGCTTAAGCCATATCAAGACCCTGCTCAGGTGAGCGCGGAGGCGTTGGCACCAACAGTGGCTGGGCCACGGACAGCTGCAAGGCAGTAGGTGGTAGAGCCACGGGAGACTGAACAACAGCAAGTGGTAGATCCACAGATGGCTGATCAACAGCATGTGGCAGAGCCACAGGTCGCGGAGCGAAGTACTCGAGATGCAGGAGCAAGGCAAGCTGAACGTTCAGCCGAGCGACTGGATGCTCAAGGTCCGAGAGCTGGTTGTGAGTCAACAGTGGTGGCTCTAACCTATCCACAAGGTGGATCATCTCTTCGAGATCGACCGATGGGCGATGAACGTGAACGTTCGCGTCGTGGACGCCGGCGTCGTATGGACGCAAACGCCGTTCCGGCAAGTGCTGACTCTCCCCGCGAGAGCCCAGCTGAGGCAAGGCCTCCTCCAGCTCTGCTCGATGAGCATGGTGAGCTCCACTTTCACGTGGAGCGCCTTGTGGCGTGGCGTAGACGGCAGGGTTGTACCCAGTACTTGGTGAAGTGGAAGGGTTCCCTCACTCACAGAACTCATGGGAGTTTGAGGCTATCCTCCGGCAAGATTGCCCTGACGTCGTTGACGCTTACGACCGAGCACATCATGTGCCGAAGCGCCACCATGGCGTGCGACAGCGTCGCCAGGCGCTGGGCGCCTCCCACTAGAGTGGGGAGCGATCAGGTCAGTAGTTGAGCTCAGGCTCTGACCAGTGGCTGCAGCAGCCAGCTCGTACGTATTAGCGGTGCTCGCAGCGGGAGCAGGAGGTGGAGAGACCTCGTAGTGTTAGGGACATGGTCCTGAAGGAAGCAGGTGCTTCGTGTTGTGCTGACCAAGGTTCAGGCACAAGCGTCTCGATAGACGCATAGTTGTTTTGAAACAACTTGCTCGATGAGCATGATCCAAATGTGGATGCGCTGTAACAGCGAAAGTGGTGTCCCGGACGGGGATCGAACCACTGGCCTTTGGCTTGACAGGCCGGAGCTCTACCATTGCGATCTCGTACGTCAGTCCGAGAACGGACTAATCATGGTATGAGAGGGCTGAGCCACCGACCTGCGGCTTCCAAAGCCAGCGCTCGACCACTGAGCTGAAAGGGCGTTGTCCTTAAGCTTGTTCATTCAAGGACAACAGTTCATGGAACGAGAGGGCTGTGCCCTGGTGGGTTCGAACCACCGACCTGTGGCTTCCAAAGCCAACGCTCGACCACTGAGCTAAAAGGGGATTGCCCTTAAGCATGTCCAAGCGTGGACAATCGTTCATAGAACGAGAGGGCTGTGCCCTGGTGGGTTCGAACCACCGACCTGTGGCTCTCAAAGCCAACGCTCAACCATTGAGCTAAAAGGGTGTTGCCCTTAAGCTTGTCCAAGGGTGAACAATCGTTCATGGAACGAGAGGGCTGTGCCCTGGTGGGCTCGAGCCACCGACCTATCGCTTGTGAAGCGAGTGTTCAACCGCTGAGCTGTTGTCGACGACTCGAATGAGTCAAGGGCATTGCTCTAAGCGGTTTGCAGCTCTTGGAGTAGGCGCGGAGCGCGAGCGTAGGTCTGAGACCGCTTGAGAGCAAGATGCGCGCTGCGCTTGGAACATTGGGCCGTGGGCCGACGACGAGAAGTTGGGCATCAACGATGCGTAGGCGTTTGTGAGCTCACGGAGCTCACAAACGTTGGTGTGAGGTGTAGTAGCCTCCGCCGTCTTAACAAGACGTGACCTCGCTGAGGAAAGTTTCGAGAACGGAGTGTTCTCATCTTAGTGGGGGAGAGTGTAGCGGGGTTACATGGTGTGAAACACACAGGGGTACGAAGTACCCGGAGAGCTAACAAACTCTCAGTACATAAGTTGGAGAGTTAACAAGGTCTCTCAGTACGTTGGCCGAAAGCCACACGTTATGCATTTGATTAGGTTTAACTATGCTAGATAGTTAAACAAATACATTTACCCCTATGCGGGTTGGCCGCAATAATAGTAAATAAAGCACTTCTGGTTTTGAAGCATAAAAATTAAGATATTACTTTGAGCCCTGGTCTTGGGCTGTAAGCTCCTTTGGATAAGGAGCTTAGTATTAGTGACTCTTTGAGTCGAACGTCTTCCTCTGACGCTAAAGCTACGGCAGCCCCGCTGCAGCATCCATTCCTCCTCCTCTAAGTTGTCAGACGCATCATTCTCGCTGACCCTAGCCGCGTCCGTAGGCAGAGGCCGCTTCTGCGTGGCACGCGTTCGGAGATCCATGGCGGTCGAGCTTTTTGGGTGGCAAGCTACGCGACACCGAAAGGGGACGAATTTTTGTGGCTGACAAATGGTTTACACCATACATTGGCCGGTTAGGCTGCAAATCTCTTGAGATAGTTCAGATTCTAAAAGTTATCTAAAATCTTGATTATTATTTTTTGGCTTAGCTGTATTCTAGTATATTTTAAATGGAGTAATATTAATAATACTAAAGTATTACATTGAAGCTTAAGTACTACTAAAGTACCCGCTAGCTCACTGTACACCAGAGGTCGCAAAAAACGCAAATTTTCGGCTAACCATACCCGTATGCAAATAAGTTTCGGATGACCATGACCAACCGTACGAGGCTACGAAGTAGTAATACTTGTGTCTTTTCTTAACACGACTACTCGTATTATACATGTACTACAAATAAACGGTAAAACGACCGGTTTTTTCTTCCACTTGTACTACATGTAGTATATTTTGACTGTGTTTTAAAAGGCTGATAAACAAGAAGCACGTTGCATTTGCCGGCTAACTGCGTGTAAATGTGCTGTAGATAGAAAGCTCAGCTTGTCAGTGTACCCTCCCCCTTTTCAAGCCATTTAGTTGCGCGTGGCGTCGAACGTGTCCTTGACCTTGTCCATGAAGTCTTCCGTGTACAAGTAGTGGTCGGGAGTCACGTTGGAGCCGTGGACGCAGATGGCCAAGTCCTTGGTCATGTGGCCGGCCTCCACCGTCTTGATCACGGCGTCCTCCAGACCGAGAGAAAAGTCAATGAGCTCCTGGTTGCCGTCAAGCTTGCCACGGTGGGCGAGACCACGCGTCCAGGCGTAGATCGAGGCAATAGGGTTGGTGCTCGTCTTCTTGCCCTGCTGGTACTGGCGCCAGTGACGCGTGACCGTGCCGTGAGCAGCCTCAGCCTCCACCGTCTTTCCATCGGGAGCAACCAGCACACTGGTCATCAGACCAAGCGAGCCGTAACCCTGGGCAACAATGTCCGACTGGACGTCACCGTCGTAGTTCTTGCAAGCCCACACGAAGCCGCCGTCGCTCTTCAGAGCCTGGGCGACCATGTCGTCGATCAGACGGTGCGTGTACGAGATACCAGCGGCGTCGTACTTAGCCTTGAACTCGCTCTGGTACACCTCCTCGAAGATGTCCTTGAAGCGACCATCGTACTTCTTAAGAATGGTGTTCTTAGTGGACAGGAACAGGTCCTGGTTCTTGCTCAGAGCGAAGGACAGACACGATTTGGCAAAGCCGTAGATGCTCTCGTCCGTGTTGTACATGGCCAGACCCACGCCAGGGCCCTTGAAGTCGTACACCTCGAACGTCTGCTTCTCACCACCGTTCTCGGGCGTGTACACGACCTCGAACTTGCCCGGACCAGGGGCGATGAAGTCCGTGCTCTTGTACTGGTCACCGAAAGCGTGACGGCCCACGACAATGGGCTTCTTCCAGCCCGGCACAAGACGTGGCACGTTGGAGATGACGATGGGCTCACGGAAGACCGTACCGTTGAGGATGTTACGGATCGTGCCGTTGGGCGAACGCCACATCTTCTTGAGCTTAAACTCCTCCACACGCTGCTCATCCGGAGTGATGGTCGCGCACTTGATGCCAACGTGGTGCTCCTGGATGGCGTGGGCAGCGTCGATGGTAATCTGGTCGTTGGTGGCGTCACGGTGCGGTAGACCCAGGTCGAAATACTCGATGTCCAGGTCCAGGTACGGGTGGATGTACTTGTCCTTAATCTGCGACCAGATGACACGCGTCATCTCATCACCGTCAAGCTCCACGATGGGCTTGTGCACCTTAATCTTCTGGCTGGTGGCGAAGCCGCGGCGCGCAGGAGCGGCCATCGAACGGACGGTCTTGGCGAACATGACGAGATCGGAGGAGTTTGGTCTTCTGCTTCGGATTGAAGAGTGAGAACGATCGGGGGAGAACCGCACGATCCAATCAGATAGTATTTAGGCAGATAGTAGTCGCCGAGCTGTAAATGACAGAATAAGTGTGCAATCACCCGCGAGCTTAGAATATTTCTATCAAACAAGATGTCTTAGGAAAAGAAAGTAGTACTTTTCTTTTTTTTCATTTTTTGATAGGACGCCAGGTTTGATTACAGAAGTCGTTCCCTTTTCTGGCAACGAAGTACGTCACACAATCATCTTGGGATCAGATGGAGACGTTGATTGGCCAAGAGCCCGCTTCAACGCGTTAAACCAAATGCAGCGCAAGATGCCACATTGCTCCCAGCCTCTCACATTGACTTTCCTTGCTATTACCTTCACCCTTCATGTGATTTCCCAACCATCTTCATGCATTTACATCCACACTCGGTCCTGTATGTATCTCCCTGCCTACCCTTGAGTGCTGTTCCCTAAATAGTCTGGGACTGTGGCTCTGTCGGCGTACACGGCGCGGAACCTTCCGGACTACCGGGGCTCACAGGCACAGGTGGAGGACTGCCAGGACTACCCACGCTCTGTGGACTCCTCGGAGATGCCGAAGCAGCCGAGCTCGAAGCTGGAGGAGTATCTGATCCATTAGCCTTGGACGGAGACGTCTTCGAAGACGTCATCGAGTTCTGCTTCGAGCCAGGAGACAACGGCACGCCGTCCCCATCGCCAGACTCCTCAATGTAGTCCTCCTCAACGAACTCTTCGTCTTCATGGATGGTTCCTTGCTTGAAGTTGCCCGTCTCTTCATCAAAATCCATGTCAGCCATCTCTGGTTTCCAGTCTCCCAGTCCTTGGTACGAGAAGCGGTCAAAGTGCTTCTGTTCAGACGGAGACGACGGCAGCGACACGGGCGAGTCCGGCATGATCTCTTCACGTGCCTCACGCATCTTAGCAATAGCGCGAGATAGGTGACTCTCATCAGTCACGTCCTCCATGCGATGCGGAGGACGTGGGACTTCCATCTCCATCTGCAGTAGTTTATCCCAGTCAATTTCTGCAAAAAACGGATGCTGTTTGATCTCCTCAACGCCGTCAGGTCCACAGCCAAGACGGTTCTCCGGGTCTTTCGTCAGCAGCTTCATAATCAGATCCTGAGCTTCCGGAGTAAAACGATCACTGAACTCCGGCTCCTCCTTCAAAATCTTGTCAAACAGAATAGTTGGCACATTGTGACGAAACGGCGAGTCGCCCTGAATCATCTCGTACGCCAAAATACCCAGCGCCCACCAGTCCACAGCCTTGCCGTAGCCTTCCTTCATAATCAACTCGGGCGCCAAGTACTCGCACGTGCCCACAAACGAACTCGTCCTTTCATTGTCATCCATCTCCTCCTTCGACAGACCAAAGTCCGTACACGCCACATTGCCGTCCGCAGTAATGACAATGTTCTCCAGCTTCAAATCGCGGTACAGAATGTTCGATGCGTGCAGATGCGCGATAGCGAGAAGGATTTCGGCCAGATAAAACCGAGCGCGCTTGATACTGAAGCGACCACGACGTCGCAGCACCTGACGAAGAGAGCCACCGCTGTAGTACTCCATGACCATGTATAGTTTGTCCTGGTTCTGGAAGGCGTACTTCAGCTGGACGATGTACGGGTGGTCAGCCTCTTGTAGGATACGGCGCTCTGCCATCGTCTGCGTGACCAGGTCCTTGTTCATCACCCACTCCTTCTTCAGAACCTTCATAGCGTACAAGTGGCCAGCGTCTGCGCCGTCCTTCTTCAGCACCAATAGCACCTTACCACAGGCACCACGACCGATGACCGTAACAAGCTCAAAGTCGTTCACAGACATCTTGCCGGGCTTGGCTGATCCACTGAAAACACTCTCCTTCTCACCCGTACGGACAGCACGTGGTCTCGACCAATGGATCAGTGAAGGCAGCGCGCGACACGTTAAACAGAGACGCACTTGGCCTTCGTGACGTGTGTTTTCTACCGTCGAACACTTCTCGCAGCATGGATTCTGACAGGTACGACAATGCCGGCGCCAACGACGCATGTTGAATGGGCCCTTGCACAAGTAACAGGCCTTTTCCATACCGCTATTTACGTTTTTCACGCGGAAACCTGACCATCTCGCCTTAAAGCTTGCGTATACTGAGGACACGACAGTCTGGAGCAAGTCCACGTCCGAATTCGCGCGACCCGCTGACAGTACCACACAGCCCAATGGCATTTCTCGTGACTTCATGCGCTTTAACGCTTTTAAGCCCTCCGGTGATGACAGGTAGGCCAGACACCACTGCGCAATCATCTTCCGTAATGTATACGAGTCATCTGACGAAATGTGGTGTGTAGACTGCAAGAAGACGACTCCACTAATGTGACGCTGCATCTCCTTCATGTTCGACCGCAAAGCTTCCACCAATAGACTGCCACCGTCCCGATACGCCACGATAAACACGTGCGTAGCTCTGGAAGTTAACACGTGGTTACGCCAGCCCGTCATAAACCGTTGCACTGCACTCCTCATCTACAATGGCAGTAGAATAACGAATATCAGTCGTCATGTCCTTCATAAAGTACTCTAAAATAACAATACTTACATCAATTTCTCCGGACCGCATGGAGTCCTTGAAGATGTCGTCGAACACGACGATACCCAGTTTATCTTCTTTGGCCTTCATTATATATGGCAGCATGGATCCCAAGCTGCCTTTGAAGATGCCGCCACCTTCAGACCCTGACCGAACACAAAGCCGTGCACTCCAAATGCCTGCTGGAGACCCATCGCTGTCGCCGATAAACACCACGAGTCGGTCGGAGAACAAGGCCGTTCTGGACAGGAAGACGCTGCACTGGATCGTTTCGTCGTCCTACAAATCATATCAGACCAATTTGTAAGAGATGTAGCCATCTTGAGAAAGATCTCGGCAGTCACACTTACATGAGACGTAGTGACCTCATGGAAGGTCTCCATTAGTGTCTGCATTTTTCCCTGTACGTTCTTTGTGGCAGCTTCCAGTAGACCACCCGGAGGCGGTAGTGGCGGCTCTGGAGGCTCCACATACGAGCTTCGAGAACTGACTGCGGGTGATGGACTGCTATCTGGGTCGTCCTCCCCGGCCACCGAGTCCTGTCGCGCGCGGTTGTAGCGACTGCTCTCCGAGTCATCGTCATCACCCTCGTGCTCCGAGCGGTCGTCCTCGCCTACCGAGCCGGTGCTGCGGCTGAAGATGCTAAAGTTGGTAGTGAAGCTCAGACCCACGCTCTTGCGTCGCACTGCCTCGCGGATGTTGCTCATAGCTGCCACGGGAGACTTTTTCATGCTGTTTGCTCTTACGGACGTCTTCACACTCGAAGAGAGCTTCTAGAGGCGCAGACGAACAGTGGCACGTCCCGAAGCGAATTCCAAAGCGTTCGTCACGTGCGAGCCCTTTATGGATAGCGAAGACGCTGCTGCGCTCGGAGCAGTGCTGTGTGTCCTCGCCCTGCGAGTGGAGGAGGCCAGGCGTCACGTCAAAATAAGCGCGTCCAAGCGAGTGTTTAGCAGCCTGCAGCTTCGTCTGTGGGGAGAGAGGCTGGTGCAATGGGGGCGTGTTAGATAAGCTCTTGGTTTGATTTGACGTTTGTAAGGTCGGTGGCCTAGCCCTCTCTGTTGCAGTTGGTGGAAAAATCAGGAGTTAGATAAAACGCACAGGATTGGTGCAAAAGGTCGACAGTGAAGCCATTTGGGAAAGCTGAGTTTATGTTGCATGTGACTTGATGGTGAGCGTGCATCAGCTCGAACAGCTTCATGAACAATATTATTGGCGCAAGCTCTGGGTCGTTTGCCAAAGTGAAAGGGAAACACATAATTGTAGTTCTGTAGACGTCGACAATATTTACTCCTTTGAAGTGAATTATTACGTCAAAACTGTACTACGTGTAGTGTATCATATTCGGAAACCTTTTTTTTCTCTACATGTAGTTGAGTACGGGAACGCTTTATTCGGCGAGTACATCCCTCGCTTCTTCTGATAAAAGGGTGATTAAATGCCTACAGCACATCGGGAGTCGCTGGGAGCCGCTTCAAGTGCTGCTGTTGGAACTTAGCCATCACGTCTACCCATCGACTGTACACGCCTATCTGTGCAGATATTAAAGCAAGAGCACTGAAGCCTTCATCGCTTACGCGTAGCCCTGAAAACCCAACAAATGCCAGTGGCAATTCCAGCAGCTTCTTAGCTGTCGAGAGCATTGTGCTGCGGTGCATCATGTGATCTAACGGGAACGCTAGCAGAATGCTCAACAGCCAGAAACCGTTGCAAATGCGTCTCAATCTTCGCATGAGTGGCTCTCGTGACGATGCGCCCAATACGCGTGTGCAGATCACGACGTAGTTCTCCGTTAGGTAGAAGAAAAAGAAGCATAGGATGCGCAGCCTTCGCAGCACCCGCACTCTGCGCAGGGGCTCTCGAACATAGCGGAATATGTCCGCCATCTCTAAGAACTGCAGGAAGCGGAAGAACCGACGAGCGTCACCGAAAATCAGCTCCACTCGGCTTAGTGACGTTATCGTCCTCCTTTTCCAGTCCGGGGTTACCTGTATCTTCAACTCATATGGCGCTGACGTCTTCTTCGACCCATTATCACTGTGCAGTGTGTGTGTCAAGGTGGGCTCACTGGCATCCAGCTTCCAGTGTTCGATCAGTGCCCACTTCGAGAACTTGGAACCATATTGCAGCAGACGGTAAAGCTTGCTGCGGCTTTCTGTTGTCACTCACACCGAGTGTCAGCACATACTTTGCGTACATACATCAACCGGTTTAAGATTCGTACCCGTCGTGGACAGGAAGAAGACGACCTTGGCCAGAGCATCGTCCGCGACCTCCATCAAGCTGTTGAGTTTCCGGGCTGATAATTCTCAAAAAGAATTGTTTTTATCCACTCAGTATCACAAATTCTGTTTAGCCGGATTACAATATGCATAGCCGCAGGTTTCAAGCACTGGGGGGAAGCACACGCTGGAAGCTAAAGCGGCGGACACTGGGGCGATGGCTGCGGGCAGTGGACTGACCAAGAACCAGCGGCGGCGACTCAAGAAGCGTGCGCAGAAGCAGGCGGAGGCTAATGGCGTCAAGATTGAGCCCGCTTACGCCAGCAACGGCATTGCGAAGACGAAGAAGGAGACGGCTGTTGCACCCCCTCTAGATGTAGAGGTCGAGTACGTGAGCGCCGATCTAAGCAAGGAGCTTGCGCTTCCACAGGATGACCCAGCTTATGAGGAAATGATGCGCGTATTCGGCAAGTTCTCGTCCGCTGAAGAGCTTTGCGGCGCCACGGACAACGAGGTGCGTTCAGACTACAGGATCTTGGCTGTTTACCCATTAATTGATGAAGTTTTATTGAACATTTAGGACGGTAAGGACGACGACAAGGAGGGAAAGGATGATGCAGAAGGAAATGAAGATCAGACGAAGGAGGAAGAGGAAGAAGAGCAGGTTCTGTCCAGGAAGGCTCGCAAGAAGAGCAAACGACTGAGCGTTGCCGAGCTTAAGCAGCTGGTGGTCTATCCGGATGTAGTGGAGGCTCACGATGTCACGTCAGCAGACCCTCGCCTGCTCGTGTTCTTAAAGTCGTATCGTAATACGGTGCCCGTGCCGCGCCACTGGTGTCATAAGCGAAAGTATCTTCAGGGCAAGCGTGGCTTCGAGAAGCAGCCGTTCCAACTACCAGAGTTTATAGCTCAGACGGGTATTGCTGAAGTGAGAGATTCTGTCGCTGAGGACGATGAGAAGAAGCGAAACAAACAGCGAGCTAGAGAACGTGTACAGCCCAAAATGGGGCGTGTGGATATCGACTACCAGGTGCTGCACGACGCATTCTTCCGCTTCCAGACCAAACCCAAGCTCACGCAACTGGGTGATGTGTACGTCTACTTATTGGCAATTGTAGCTCAGCTTTATCTATGCTGAGTAACATTGACCTTATGTCGTAATTTTGCTTTCACTTTGCAGGTATTACGAAGGCAAGGAATTTGAGGTAAAACTCAAGTCTAAGGTGCCAGGTCAGCTCTCAGACGAACTCAAGGCAGCCCTCGGTATGGTGGAAGGCGTGCCTCCTCCGTGGCTATTGAATGTACAAAGATATGGCCCGCCGCCAGCATACCCGAACTTGAAGATTCCAGGTTTGAACGCGCCTATCCCAGACGGCGCAAGCTTTGGATATCATCCTGGTGGATGGGGTAAGCCGCCTGTGGATGAGAATGGTGTGCCTCTGTACGGTGACGTCTTCGGCAAGCCCGCGGAGTCAGAGAACCAGGTAAGAATTGTTGAGGTGGTGCTACTTCAGAATTGGTGGTTCAAGAACGATTTTGTGTGCTGCAGGGAGAGGACATTAACCGTGAACGATGGGGAGAATTTGAAGAACAAGAAGGTGTGGACTCCATAGCTAGAGGATAGCTGTAAACTTGCAGCTAACGCTCTTATGAAAAATGTAGAAGAAGAAGAGGAAGAAGACGGAGAAGAGGAGCAGCCAGAAGGCAACGTGGAAGGCAATGACGACGCTGACGGTCTTGACGCTACTGGCTTGGAAACTCCCCTTGTGGACGGCATTTCAAGTGTTGCTTCGGGCCTCACTACACCTGGTGTCGTGGATCTGCGCAAGGGTATCCGGTACGTTAAAATTGTAACTCTTTGGCTACTTCTGATAACATTTTGCTAACCTGGTTGTATGTGGCTATGTATCTAACAGAGGAACAGAGACCCCCGATGAGCCACAGCAGCTCTACACTGTGCTGGAACAGAAGGAGGTGCGATGCATCGTTCATTACTGTTGTGAAGGAGTAGACAGTTCTTACACCCTTCTCTTGTAATGTAGACATCGGTGGGTACGTCGCTCTACGGCTCAGGGCATGCATACGTTGTTCCCGGCGGAGCAGAGGAGTCGAGCGGCACACGATCGGAGACTGGTCGTGTTCGACGTCGCTTCGAAGACGCGCCTCCGTCCGAGTCTGCTAACCCTGCGGAAGACGAAGACGAGGCCGCTAAGAAGAAAAAGAAAGCCAAGACCGACAAGAGCAAGAAGCTCAAGGATTTCAAATTCTAAGTGCAGGTATCTCACGAGCTTTTGCAGTAGACAGCGTACTACGGACTTGACAAACCCAACCCGGTCTTGACCTTTTGACTACAGAAAGCTGCGCTGTTGCCCTGTGTACTGAAGCTGTTTAAATAGAAGTCTCCTATAGAGGTGGTAGTCCCATGGCCTCGCGCAGTTCCATGATCTGCCGTCGCTCCTCTGGGGGCAGCGACTGAATGATCTCAGGAGCCAAGTTCTGTACCTGTTCCAGTAACTCTTGCTGCTCGGGGTCCAGCTTCTCCATTAGATCGTTCGACACGCCCTACAGTTGAAGCATCAAAGTGTTAAAAACCTAAAACACAAAGTAAAAGCCTCGTAGACATCGCGTACGATGGCATTGATTGGGGCAGATGCTGACGCTGCGCGCTCCTTGATCATTCCGAGTCGAAGCTGTGCCTGGGCGACAGCGCGCGCCAGCTCCGGGTGGTCCTGCAGCAGTCGACGCGTCTCCGCTGGATCACTCTCATTACACTGCTTCAGCTGGTACACGAGCTCGTAGACCTCGGCGTCCGTCAGGTCCTTTACGCTCGTCGCTTTGGTTTCCATTTTATCGATTGAATACATGTAGAGGTATTCGACCATCGATATGACATATCAAAGGTTTACCCAGCCGTTACCCTAAATGGTGTGTCATTCGTGTAACTTGTGTTGACGACCCACCGAATGCTGCGTGCATCTCAATCGTCGCTTCGGTCGCTGCTCCTCCGTCCACGTCGTTTCAGCACCGTCACCCTCGAAGCTTCAGAAGGCGAGATGAACGTGACTCGCCACAACTTTTCGAAGCACTTGAAAGACCTGCAGAAGGATCTACAGCTACCAACTTGCCGCTTGGTCGCCATCGACACGGAGTTCACAGGTTTATCGCCCAATGAGCTCGAGCGCGAACAATACCTAGACACGCTGGAGGAGCGTTACCACAAAGTGAAGCGTGCAGGCGAGAGCTTCCTCATCACGCAGTTTGGGCTCTCCATTGTGCATTTGGATCAGAAGGATCAGTTCCACATAAAGACTTGGAACTTTTACGTATTCCCAAGACCGTACGGCTCGCTGGACGAGCGCTTCTTGTGCCAAGCCTCCAGTCTGCAATTTCTGTCGGAACACGGCTTCGACTTTAACAAGTTCATTGGAGATGGCATCCCATTCGTGAATCTAGCCAAGACTCCAGCGATGAAGAAGCGTCTGCAGCGTCGTATTGACGGACTGACAAAGGTTAACAAGAACTTGCAACTATCGGACGATGGCATGGCCTTCCAGAAGGACGTTAAGCAACAGCTGGCTAAATGGATCGCTGGTGGAGCCAAGAAGGGCGAGAAGCTGTTTGTGCCCACGAGGAACTCGTTTTACTCCATGATCGTGCATGAGACAGCGCGTGCCAAGGCCAGTTATCTGTACTCGGAAGCTGCCGACGGTGGCGTGCAGGTGTCGTATTTGTCCAAGAAAATGAAGGATGAACTGATCGCTGCTAAGGTGAAGGAGATGAGAAAAGAGATGGATGAAGCCATTGGCTTCTCCAAGGTGATCGAGGCTCTGAGTGAGAGCAAACTGCCGGTGGTCGGACACAACGCTCTACTGGACTTTGTGTACGTCTTCCACCAGTTCTGTAAGCCCCTCCCAGAGACCTTAGCGGAGTTCAAGACGCAGCTTCTGGAGCTCTTCCCGACTATCTACGACACAAAGCACGTTACTTTGCGGTCTCCTCTTGGCGAGAAGCTCAAGTCCACGGGTCTATCGTCGCTGTTCGAGTACATGCGTGAGAATGTCAAGCCGGAGCCTGAAAGTCTCATCCCTTCAGACAAGCGCTTCGATACATACCGTGAGGCTCTTAAGGCTGAAGCTGACGGCAACGAGAGCTTGCTGTGCCACGAGGCTGGCTTCGACGCGTTCATGACTGCTGTGTGCTTCCTTGGTCTGTTAGCTCACGACTCCAAGGGTGAGTTACCTGACCAGCTCGTGCCTAAGGAAGGCAGCTCGGCTCGTCTTAAAGTGCGTCTGGAGGAGCTGGAGAGCTTCAAGAACCAGCTGAACCTCATGATCTCGGACCAGAGCTTCCTGGACCTTGGCAATGTTGAACAGACGATCGATCGCGCTCGTGTGTACCGTGTAACTAGCACTACTAAGCGCCGGATTCAACATGTACGCATGGAGGACGTGTTCGAGTCGTCCAAGGTGCAACGTATCGTCCGTGAGAGCGACCAAGACGCGTATGTTGTGCTCACGGAGCCTGCAACAGTGAACGACGAGGTGAAAACACAGCTGGGCTTGAACATCTCCACGTACGACGAACATGTAGCTGCTGAAGCCGAGACGGTTCGTGAGAGGAAGGAGCAGGCAGATCTTAAGCTGTTTGAGAAGATCTTGGCTGCCCGCGCCTCAACATCAAGCGTAGAGACGAAGGAAGAGACATCCTCGTGGAATAGCTGCACGATTTCGTAGACGTAGCTGGTAATCCGGTTTCAATAAAGTTGCGGAGTAATATCAGCTGTGCACCGTAACTTCCGGCAACTTCACAAACTATATCTTAGATTTGTGAGGAAAGGTACCTTGTGCCCATCACCGTCCTCCCTCGTATAATCTTTGACATACATCAGAAAAATCGACATTTTATACCTGTGCACTCTTTATATTTAGAGCTACATTTAGAGATTGCAAATGACACGGTTTCGTCTACCAAAAATGTATTATGTACCCGCCATATCAGCAGATAAGACGGGTTTGAAAGACCACAAATGCAATAAGCAAGTGAGTTTTGTCCTGTTAAATATACCCCATTTCGACGAAATTTTCAATGATAGTTAATGTATCCAGCCGAGACTAGTTTCTCGCTTCCATTTTTTTTTTATCATATTGCAGCTCATTGAGTGTTAATCATATTGCAGCTCATTGAGTGTTTTGAGCGAAGTGAGGTTTGAGATGAAGGATATTCACGACACTACTACCGCTCTAATGCTCTTTATGAGCGAAGCTCTTGCGAACTACGAGAAGGATATGGTCAACGTTCGAGACGCGGTCTTTAAAGTCCTGATTCAGGATATTAGGAGAGTCGCCATGCGATCTCAGTATTACCTCACAGTTCAATGTCTGGACAAACCAACCGAGTCGGCCTGGATGTCGCTGTATTTGGCAGGCAACGACAAGAACTTCTTGAATGCGACGAGTTTGACCTGATTTGTATCTACCGCTCATTTATAGGAGTAGAAAGGAAGTGCTGGTTTACTAATGTAACAGGGCTGCGTTCTCTCCGCTGCTTCCGCGCTTTGCGCGTTTCAAAACAGGATCTCGCCTCCATCATCAAGAGGGTGTCCTCCGAAGCCCCAGTATCTGCATCAAGTACTGGGTCTCGTGCTATGCTTTTATGTGGGCTCGATGGGGAACTCCACGCTGTGTCTGCTCCTTGGCGTCCCGCCGAGCACGCTGGTACGCATGCTGCAAAGGGTCGAGGAAGCAAGAGCAGCGACGCTAAAAGGCTACGGTCCTGCACGCATCGCGTGTCCATCATCTGCTAGGCAAGCAAAGCTAGCTCGTTTAGTGGGGACTCGTGAGCCTCTGCTTAAACATACATTTGGCTTTATTGTTGGGAAGAGCCTTCGTGTACGGCTTTAGAATAGCTACAATGTTTGTATTGACGTGTTATCGGATCCCTACTGTTACCGTTGCCAGGTGATGCAGCCGTCCAATGCTGACCTCCAGAATGTCATGTACAATGGCTGGCTCCACGCCGGTTTTGGTACAGGGACGATCTGCTTTGCAGCGGGCGACTGCATCATCTGGAGCCGCCATAACTGCCCAGGTTCCTGGAATGACTCGGATACTTCCCTAGGTTTTCAAAACACGTGGTATCCGACTCTGCGGCTGCATGTTGACGCCGGCATCATCGATCACATCCAACCCGACCTGCGAAACGCCGCCCTGGCGATGCACAACGCCATCCCATCGGTGCGTCAAGTGGCAGAGTTGGTCCAGAACGTGTACAGTCAGCTCAACCTTCCGCTGTCCTATGATCCCGAGCTCCGTGGCCTGCGGATCAATAACATGTTTTACTCGTACCAGCCGGTCTAACACTGAAACAAGTTCTTTTCGACATTGTTAATGGGCTCCACCAAACCATATGCACCACTTCGAACTCGGACGGACAAGTCTGCGCGGTTTCACTCAGCTCCTATCTCTCCGATGTCATCAGCGCTGACGAATCATCACTGCTTAGTGCCATTATCTTCCGGGCTGGGGTACCACTATACGCTGCTGCTGAGAAAGATGTCTGCTCTTCGCTAGAGTCAACCTCTTTAGCCAGTGGTTTGGCGAGCGGCGCGAGTATTTCGTACTACGCCGCATCATGCTGCGTCTCTGGGCTATCAAAGCTCCTACCAGGGAACCCGAAAAAATAATATGCGTAAAAATTAATCCTAATTTTTTAATTTAATTATTAATTTATGGCTGTCCACAACGGGAACAACCCCAATTTTGAGTAAGGTCTAGTCCAGTTACAGCGTGGGGGTGCGCTGAACGTCGCGGAAAAATTAGCCTGCGCTGAATTTAGGTCGCCTGATCTCGAACGGTCGTCTTCAAGAGCCGCCGAGAGCGTTCTATTGTGAGAGCGGCGTTCAAGAAACGCAATTGCGCTGCGTCGACGTCGCGTACATCCCGCCAACGTCTAACGAGTGTGAGCGCTTCTTCTCTCTCGCTAAGCTGGTGCTGTCTGATCTACGGAAGCGAATGTCTCCAGCCAGGCTCGAGATGATAATGTTTCTGAACTACAATCGTGACTTGCGAAGTTTTGCAAATAATTAAATTATTAATTTTCTCAGTTCACATCGATGTATTAATTAAAGTATTGCATTTTCGGGTTCCCTGGCTCCTACAGAGCCTCGATACTGTAATAACGCATCTATCTGGAAACTCGGTCGCCGAATTGTTCACTCTCATCACGGGCCGACAGGATGCTGTGACGAAGTTCACATCACTGTATCCAGTAATCGAAAGCTGTGCCTTTGAAGCATCGTGCACCAACCCAAACTTTACTTTATCGTCCAACACCAGTTCCAACGCGATTAGTGACGCCGTTTCAAACAAGACTCGTTCCCCAAGCAACATTGCATGCAAGCTGGTGACGTTGTGTGACAGTAACAACGTGTGTAGTGATGTGTGTGAAACTGGAACTGCGAGTGTGAACTCGTGGGCGGCTGATGCTATCGCTTTCCAACACAGACTGTCCTATGGAGAGACCTTGTGTTTCACACAGTTGCCGGCCACTCACAACAGTGTTATCACCCAGGCCCGTGGCTATGGCAATCGTGACCAGCTCTTCAACTCGATGCTGAACGCTTCAAACGCCGGCTCGTACATGCGCACTAGTAACCAGTTTCTGAGTTTAACAGATCAGCTAAATCTGGGTGCTAGATTTCTAGAGCTGGACGTACACTACTTTGGTTCGGCTCTGCGCGATGCTCACTGCTCCAACCTCGGGGTGTCGTTGATTGACACATTGTCGGCGGATATGGTGATCTCTTTGAAATCCGCTCTGGAGGTGAGCGGCGAGGACAGCTCGGTTGAGTGGACTTCCGATTAAGTGGGCTGTCTGCCTTCATTGAGTGGAATCCGTGCCGAAGAGCAGCGTCTTCACAATGAGTCGCTAGCAGAGATATCTGCTTGGTTGGCACGTCATCCAGATGACTTCATTGTGCTCTTTGCTGATATTGGGGACGACGTTGCATCGACTGGTCAGACAGATGCGCTGCTGGAACTCTACACAAGCGTGTTCGGCGACCTGTTATTCACTCCGACAGACTTCGATACGGCTGGAAGTGACTGGAATAGGTTCACGTTGGAAGACTTGATCCGCCAGGGTAAGCAAGTCGTTTTGATATCGGGATCTGAGGCAAACAGCCTCATGTTCTACTCGTGTGAAATGTGTGCTGGTTGGGCTGACATTCCAAAGAATGCAACGGGACCGGAGGGTACGTTCTTCGGGGAGATCATGAATGCTGGTAAAATTGTGCGCGCTTTCGAGAGTGAATTGCACTACGCTACGTTCACAGAGAGTTCACTCGGTGGTGGAAGTAATGGCGTCGATACACCTGAGCACCCGGCCAACGTTAACGCTTCCACTCTGCGTGTTTTTGTGGACGCTGGAGTGAATTTTGTGGCGCCGGATGAACTCGATGGATCGACGATGGCAGCCACGATTTGGTCGTGGGCCGAAAATGAGCCCGACGTCAGCATCTCCACCGCTGTGGCGCTCTCGGGTGTGGACGGGCGCTGGCACGGTATTTTCGACCCATCAAGTATCTCTCACGTGGCGTGTGTGAGCAACAGCAGCCGCATGAAGTGGAAGGTTGTAGCCAAGGGCTCGAACTGCCCCAACGGATTTGAGACTGGTGCACCTCGGCTGGCAGTGGAAAATCTGGCACTGCTAAGCGAACTTCGGGCGGAGGCGGGTGCTGCGACGGCGCAACTCGCTGTGGACCTCGGTAGCCTCTTGTTTGGCAAGTATAACGTCTTTCCGGGTCGTGTGGTAATACCGTCACACCACATCGAAAGGAGGATCGAAGCCTTAAGCTACATTAGAGGTACTGATGAAAAATGGTCTTCGCAGTATTGATGATACAATACCAGTGTTTGTAGCTCTCAACCATTTCGCGTCCATTTGATTTTATGTTTTTTCTTCTTCTAAAGAACTACTACCAGGCAAGGGAATAAATCAACTGGTTTATCTGCCGAAAGTGTATTAGCACGAACATCAATTGCAATAGAATCTGCAATACTTAGCTGCAGCACCGATTTATAGAAAACTGTTGCTATCCTCGCTCATTAGCGTGTGCCTCTCTGATGGCCTTAGCGACAAGTTTTGAGTCCCAGAAATCTCGGCTCGTCTTCAGGAACATGCTCCCTACTACTTCAGCAGTAATAGCGAAGAGGTCCTTGTGTGAGAATAGCGAGTATAAATGGCGTTAGACCTGTTTCCGTATTCCGAGTGAGCAGATTGGAGAATGAAGTAGAGAGTTGATGACGCGAGATGCTATGCCGCGGCTGCTCTGCCCGCGCTATACCTGCTTAATTTGGCCATGCTAAAGAAGCGGTAAGACATTACATGTAAAGAAGCCTGCTCTCGAGGTTTCACCACGCCGCACTGTGGAAGATACTGTAGGATCTGTACGTGTTGAGGGGGAAGTGCGAGTTTGGTAGCTCGTCGCTGCTGAGCGAGGAGCCGACAAGTTTGCCTACACAGGGTGCAAAGTTTTCTGGGACGTAGTCTCTGGATTCGTTCGCGCAGGATTCACTATTGTCCCGGCCACTGAGAGAAAATACAACCCTTTATTATGATGTATACAAACGCTACATATATAGACGCCCGCCTGACCCACTATAAGGTGAAGAATCCGGTCCATTTCTGGTGTCAAAAATGCGTAATTCGCAGTTATTTGGTCATAATCAAGCTC